GAAGGAAGTATCATCACTTTCAGTGGCATTTGCTGTCAGTTTCACTTTGTGGTCCAGGTGGATTTGAATTAGTATATTCCTTAACAGAAGAATTGTGTGTTTCTCATTAAATCTGAGTAGAAAATGTTGATGCTGATCTATACTGTATAATCTTCAAACACTATATTATAAACACTGTTTTTTTTTTAAAAAATCAATTAAAAGAGGAACACAATGTCATCAATTATTTAACATCCAAGCATTTGTATAATGGGCAGCATTATATTGAAGTATTCAATGCAACATAGCAACCTAAATAGCCCAAAGCAATGGTGATCACATCTGAATGTCTGTAAATGTCTTATCATTTTTATATTTATTGGTAACGCTAACTGACTCTCATACCTTATTGAGGCAACTAACTACAAACCAGGGATTAATATACATAGCCTAAGAGGAAAATATAGGTGACTCATCCTCAGGGTATATCAATATATTGCATATATCTCATAGTTGATGGGAGGGGTAACAGTGTATAGATCAGACTTGTGGAAAAGTAACATTCTGTTCCCCTCACACTATTTTTAGGGGAAATGGAAAAGGTCATATGAAATCTTCAACAAATTGATGCTAGGAAGAAAGATTTAAAAAAATAGGCTTGTTTTTATGCAGGAGTAGGGAAAGAAGATGGAAATCCATGTTGATGTAAGGGCAAATGGGATATACTTCAGTTGTTTGGCTTACAGAGGCAGTCTCAGTAGGGATTATTGAAATTAGGAGGATAAGTATCTTTTGCATCTTCTATAAATTTCCACAGTGCACAAATGTCCTTAGACAAGAGGGTCTACAAATCCATAGCTAAGTTGATAAAGATACTGGGCCATTAAATCAGTACATCTCATAAACTCAGTTTATCTACCTGATAATGGAGTTGGAGGAATGAATGGAAATGAATTAAGCAGTCTGTACAGAAATCTAAGTTCACATACCACACTCTTTTGTAAATAAATACCTTCAGAACAAGGCAGCAATCCACCAGCAACAAATTCTAACAAATGACAGTGAGTTCAGGTAATGAAGCCTGCCTGAATGAGAACAAGTCTTTGGACACTTAGAATTCTTGACTCACATCTGCACTGCTGCAAGATTGCATTAAGCATAATGGATTCACTGCCTTCAGGCACAGTTTTATTGCTTTGAATGTCTCTTGCTGTGTCAAAGGAAAACAAAACAGTTCAATTCCACAATCCAGCCTTTTGAAAAGAAATTTGAAAACAAGAAATTATATGATGCCAAGAATGTTACTTTACATGACCCTGCCAGGACTTTGGATTATTTTAAATATATTGATGGGCATATTTTAAGTAAGAACCAGTTTGGTCTAGTGGTTAAGTCTGCAGGCTAGAAACCAGGAGACTATGAGTTCTAATTCCACCTTAGGTATGGAAGCTGGCTGGGTGACTTTGGGCCAATTGCTCTTTCTCAGCCCACGACGTCAGGTTCAGGTGACAAACTGGTCGGTCAATTCCTGTCACTACCAATGGATCAACATTTGGTTGATCTGGGGGGAAAAAAACCAGCCTGCACCTGTGGGAAAAACGCTAGGAAGAAAAAGAAGAATTTAAGTAGTTTCCTATCTAGACATTCCATGAAGTGGATATTGCATGTAAAAGTATTCAGCCTATGCATAAATTCATATTCCTCCTATTTCTGTCCATCTGCTTGTCTGACTGTCTTTGTAGGGATCATACTTTATCAAAATATAATCTGTGGGAATGTTACAGGCAGAGACTGAGTAGGCCAATATTCTGAAATAAGATGCACTGGCCATGTGGAATGTTTGAACCAGTAAGACTGTGTTCCATTCTGTGAAAAATATTTTGTGTCAAAACTGGAGCTACTTTTCTGTCACTTTCTTGCTGAAAAGTGGTAGTTGATTCTTCTTAATAAGGTGGCCAAGGGTTTTTCCTTATCTTCCCCTGCTTTTTAAAATCAGAAAATGTTAATTTTCTGTTTTTAAAATCTGGATGAGAAACAGATTTGAATATTGAACTATGATATTGTGGGGGAATAACTGCATTTCTGAAGAGTGAGGAATGCTGTAATCATGTGCAGGGCTACTTTCAACTCCATCATCATCTATTACAGAGGTAGATTAACTTTTGTCCTTCACATATAGTATTGCATTCCTGCTGTGCTGAAGAACAGTAGACCCACATGTATAGACCCCCTTCTATGTTTCCTCCTTAAGCTACATATGGCTGAATGTATAACTAGGCTGAAGCATACTGTGTACATCAGATGATTTGAAATTGTCCATAGTATTTGACCTGTGCTAGTTCATTTTCAGAAAGAAAAAAAAATAAATTCCTTCATGTTTGAGTTTCCAAATGATAATCATCTCATTCAAACTGAGCCAACTTCAGTCCACTGCTAGGTATATTGAAAACATGAATGTAGCAGGTACCTTCTCAGGGAAGAAAGGGGTCACTTCATCTTCCAACACTTAGGTAGATATGACAGTAAACATATAAATATGTCATTAATAAATATTTGATTGCATCTATTTTTTTTCTATGGAGCTCAGTGCAGGGATCTAAATTATGATATCCCTGCAGATACCCATCTAATCTCTGAACATATCCAATGAAGGGGAGTCAATCATCCTTCTGAGATATTCAGTTCCACTATAAAACTGATTTTATTATTAGAATTTTTCCCCTAACACTAAACCAGAATCACTTTAACTACTATGTCTTCTCTGTGCAGTAGGATAGTCTACCCCAATCTTGTGTAGATATGTCCCTCCTTATTTCCTTTGACACTGCATTACTTAGTAGAAGTAAGCACAACAGGAAGTATTCCCTTCTTGCCAAGAAATTTGCAGCAAAGGTAGAAATATTCTGCACACTAGTGATATAAATGCAAGACTGAATCCTCCCACCTGAGTTTGAAAAATTCTTTATTCTCTATGAAAATGCATTTTGCTCGGTTCCTTGTATAGAAAGTTAGAAAGACTTCTTTAGAAGTTAAGAAGGATAGGAACAGTTGACTTATGTTGCAGATGCTGGGCAAGAATACCTGTCTCTTTAACTGTTGAAAAGAAGATTTCTATATGTTCCCTTTTTGTAGTCTTCTTTAACTTCTGAGACACCGCAGGTGTGCACACAACTCTGCATGGGCCAGATAATTCACAGAAAACCAGCAGAACTATCAGCAGAAAACCCTGTAAGATTGTAAATGAGTGCATGACTCATTTAAAAAATGACTTATTTTTTAAGTTAGAGAAATCAGTAGCACTCTCAGCCTCTCCTTCCTTTTCTAACCACTGGGGATTTTAGATGGAAAATTTGATTTACTTCCCTTTTGTTCACCCTCATCCCCATAAATGAAATGAACAGTGTGCATAGACATGATTCTATCTATCTATCTATCTATCTATCTATCTATCTATCTATCTATCTATCTATC